CAGGGCCCAGGTTCGTAGCGGAGGGAGGGGTTCACGGTTCCGCGGCAGCTGCCACATCGTTCCCTGGATGATGCGGCGATCCGTGTCTGTGGTTGCCGCGAGCCCGGCAGCCCGCAACCGCAAGCACAAACGTACATAGGCCGCGGACCGCCGCCGCTTGCATGCTGATCTGCTGTGTCTGACTCTGCTTGCAGAAGCCCACAACGCGGCAAGACACGTCACACATACAAAAATGCATGTGCACGTACTTGAACTAAGCATGTTTGGAACCGCCAACGTCACGGAAGAGCATAAACATAAGTTAATATTCGAAATAGATCGCCTTAATAAAACTACATATATTGCATTACGGTAATGCTCTCACGCGGGCGTCCAGGACGGACGGACGTGGCTTCCGCACTGGCTGCCTTATCCACCCCTTCAAAAAAAAGTCTCTCTACGCTCTCGGTCTTCACCGTCGCGGCCTTATCCACCGCACCATCGGACGTCCACGCCCGACTCCACCGCGCCGCCCGCCTTCCCCACTCAGCGCTCCACCGCACCGCTCATCTGCACCACGGCATCTGTGCCACCGCGGTCGCCTCCACCTGCCCACTTAACCGTGTGAGCAAGTGCTCGCCAAGGGTGGGCTGTCCTAGGCAGCCCGCCGAGCAGGTGCTCGGCCAAGGGTTCTCGCGTGCCTCGCATTGGTGCTTACCCAGGCTGTCGAGCAGGTCCTCGCCTAGGGGCGCACCGGCGAGGTCCATGCGCCGCCGCCGACCTCCACGATTCGTCCAAGCAGCAAGGTGACATTGCACGCTAAAATTGTATGTTGCCAGAGTATGTTTCAAGTGTTTTAGATATTTCATATGGATGTTACAAGTGTTTTATGTGGATGTTGCAAAAGTAGATCGGGATGTTGCATATGTTGCAATGGTTGTATACGTATGTTGCAAGCTTTTGTTTCCAATGTTTCAGCAGTTTTTTTCCAGACGTATGTTACAAGTGTGTTTATTGGATGTTGCATATGCTTCACACATATGTTACAAGTGTTTTATCTGGATGTTGTGTATATTTTACAGGGTTTGCAAGTGTTTCAAATGCATATTTCAAGTGTTTCATCTGTCTTTAGACGTATGTTGCAAGTGCTGCATCTGGATGTTTCAAAAGTAGATCGGTCTTTGCATCTCCTCGCTAAACCTTTGACGCCTCGTCTCGGTGTAGCCCACCTTTTCATCTTGAGTACATTCAACCAGAGATGGAGGTTAGTGCAGCCTCTCCCCTTCTTCTCGATGATGGCGGCGAGGTGTGGGATGGCGAAGACTGAAGAGCCGACGAGGCGTTGTTCCGTTTGTGCTGAGCGCCTCAGCTCTATTCCGGGTTTTCGTGGCCGTACGAGATTGACCGGCTCCTGCGGTGTCCCTATTGGACAGGTCCTAGATGCGTCCGGATGGGTCGTAGGGCTGGACGTCCGGACGTTAGTCATCCCGATTGCATTACGTTGAGATAATAAAAAATGAATAACTATTAAATAGCTTCATGCATGACCACATCCGAAATATCTTAAACGAGCTCCTAATAATTCAGTAATGCCAGGTATATATTTGCAGTCATAGATAGAATTCTAATCTAATAATAACAAATAATGCCACTACAAATTTATGAAGCCACCAATGACCTCCACGCGTCGACGAGCCTCCATTCGTTGAAGCAGCAAGGAGATATTGCGATTAAAGCGCATGTTACAAACGTATGTTTCGAGTGTTTCAGAGGAATGTTGCAGGTATTTTATATCGATGTTGCAAAACTAGATTGTTGTAAGAGCTATACATGTACGTTTCAAGTGTATGTTCTAAGTGTTTTATCCTTTTTAGACGTATGTTGCAAGTGTTTCATATAGATGTTGATGTTGCATATACATGCATGTTTGCAAAGTATGTTTCAAGTGTTCCACGTGTTTCGTGCGTATGTTGCAACTGCTTTATCTAGATGTTGCAAAAGTAGATCTGGTGTTTACATATGTTGCAATGGGACCCACCTGCTCCAAGCCGCCTGCTGCAGCTACTGTGGCGCTGCATTGGTCACGGTGCGGGCGTTTGAGGCCAGTAGACGCATCCGCAGCGCGCATCCACCAACGGGGCAGGTGACTGGGATCCACGTGGTTTCCCGCATGTGGGCACGGTAGTCAGGGCGGGAAGCAACGTGGGTAGGAAAGGTCGTGCGCGCTGTCATCTGACGGAGCGTCTGATATTTGGAGCGAGTACCTCCCATATCAATAGGAGCATCCTGGTGGACATATCGCCTGCTAGCTGCATTCGAGCATATCCACCAGTGAAGCATTAGCAACTGATGCCTCACCACTTTCCATATATGATCTGTTTTTCCAGACTCCGCATGTCTTCTCTTTTGCTTGATTTCACACTTTGAGTTCTCTATTATAAATAAAAGCATAAATATTATGTGGAATGTCATGTTTTGCCTGCCATGCAAGTGCACCGAAAAGCTTCATGAGTATGCTACTACCGGTTATGAAATTGTTAACATGGCATAGAAGAAAGATTTCAAAAACTGAAATTGTTCAGAACACATGCTACTGAATAGGGCCCATCTGAGACACAAAAGGTCCTTACAAATAATGTAAGGCTTCATCTCTAAATGCCTATATGCTCTGTAATCTAGTGGCCGACTGTATCACTGCTTATGGTGCATCTGTAGGTGCTGAACTGCTGATGACTCTAGTCTATGGTTAGACCATCTATCAGAATTGTAATGACCTTTGCGTGTCGGGCGATTTGTTTGTTGGTGAATGATGAATGGAACAACGATTCCGCTTCAGGACTTGTTTGGCTGTACTTCAGTCGATCCCAACACATGTGGATTAGGCTGCAGCCAAACAAGCACTCCGAAGGCACGGGCTCAAACCTCAAACTGGCGCTGCCCCATTCGCGTGGTGCAAGACCGGGCTCGCTTCACTGTACAAAATCATCCTTCGTCAAAAGCGCAGCTACTTCGTGATGAAAGACAATGGAGAAAAAAAAATAAGGGCAACCAACTCCATTTATATAATTTACAAGCTAAATGTGCATCAATGTCAGGAGCAGGAAGGCTGCCAACCGGAAGTCCGGCAACAGGATCTGTGGGCGAGTGCAAGCTGTCAGTGGGGTAGTGTTGTCAGTGTGTGTAGGTGAAGGGCTGTCCTAGCTGTAGCCTGGCTGGGCGGGCGTGAGTTGTATGAGAAGTCTGTAACCGCCTGAAACGGTATCAATCAACGGAGAACTGAAACTCTGAACCCAACTCTGTTCTATGTTCTTCTCTACGACTTCCATTTCTCCGGTTGCCAGTGGAATCGTGACAATCAACTGAAAGCAAAACCAAACCGAACGAATGACTAATAACTGCTGATGCTAAAGAAGCACAAAACGGAGGGGAACACACAGAAGTCGACAGCTAGAAGCCCCGAAGACACGTACTACACAAACTTGGATTATAAGAAATACACTGGAGCCATCATGTTAGTTGAGTCGGCTGGCCACACTGATGGAAAGGCTAACAGTGATTTTTCACGCTGTCATTTGAGTCTTCCAAAATACGTGCACTCTGAAAACTGGCAGAAACAAAGCATGGATGAGACAATATGTTATGATATATTTATCCATCTAAAATACACTAGAGTTGTGCACAAAGGACAAAACAGATAGGCTTGAAAACTAAAAACGGAAATATGTTAGCCAGAAACAGAGCACTGGACAGGTCTTCATTTGATCTGGTACAAGTTTTTGAAATCCCAACCCTGCCCACGATGGGTTAAATACATTGTCCCATTTATTTCAACGTCTACTGTTTCATACAAAATATTTGTAAACTGTGTTTTCCTATGTCGATCCTTCTTACGTTCAAAAAAAAAAATGTCGATCCTTCTTGATAATCCACAAAAGTCAAATGAAGTCATTTTGTGCATTGAAGTTCCGTGTCACTAGTATAACGGAATGCTAGTTCAGCAGCCCTACTACAAAGCGGGACGTAACAGGAACCTCTGAGTCAAACTCTTCATTTTTGTGGGGCTTGATGACAGTCAGTTGGGTAAAAGCAATAGAAGGGGCTAAATCTGAAATTTACCTCTGCATGCAGAACAGATCGAGAATGAAGTGTCCGGCAGCGATTGATTGAAATAGGAACCATGGCGTCGGTAGTGTGGAAAACATTTTCTCATCAAAAGCAACTTCAAATCCTCCAGACTGAGAAGCCTCAACTTTGCTAGATCTCCAAGGTTTGAAGGCAGCGCCATCAAACTTTTGCACAAATAAAATCTCCAATTCCCCGAGTGAAGCAGGCAGCTTTAGATCGCAACTATGATGTGAAATAATGTGGCGAGCTTCTTGCCTTAGATTGCAACTTGAAATCAACAATGTCTTAAACAGCTGAAAATAAGAAAGAGAAATGATTTAGACAGAATAAATTGTTACGCGGATAGACAAACAAAATATGCCTTATAGGAAATAGAGATAAAACAAGATAGTACGAGAGGGGTGGTAGATGCAGGAGCACCGAGCACGCACCTCAATTACTCAGAGAGTCACCACAGCACAAGGGGAGGAACCTCCTTGGGACTTCTTCATTTGAGGTTCTGTTGCTGCTGGAATGCGTCCTTGGTACTTCTTCATTTGAGGTTCTGTTGCTGCTGGAATGCGTTTATCTGGAATTGGAATGCGTTTATCAGATAGCACCGGGGATTCAAAGTCCGCGTGCTATTTCCTGTGAACAACCGCCAAGGACAGCGTGTTATCTGCACTAGTTGAGTCGACCACACTGGTAGTGGTAGGGAGACTTTGTTTTACTGAAGGTGCGATTGCAGTAATCTGGCCGCTTGTTCTGTCATGGAAATCCTGGTTGCATTCAAATCAGCACACCTGCATTGAAACAGAAAACGAAAACAGCAGTGAACTCAGCCTTAGAAAATGTGAAGGAATGTAACAAGATAGTTGGGGAGAGGTGATAGATGCAGGAGGCCAGGAGCACGCACCTCAATTACTCTCAGAGCCACCACCACACAAGGGGACGAACCTCATCATGGACTTCATTTGGGGTTCTGTTGCTGCGGGTATGACTTTATCTGTAATTGGAGAGACATAGTCGAAGTACTCCCCACCTTCCCTGCAACGTCTCTGCAGGTTGGAGCAGCCCGATATGTACAGGGATCTGAGGGTCCGGAGCTGCTGGAGAAGGCCCTGCGGAAATTTATCAATCCCAGGGCAATACTCGATAGTCAATCGCTCAAGAGAAGTGAGGCCATCCATCCCGTCAGGCAGCGCTTTCAGTTCATCGCAGCCCACCAGACTGAAATGGCTCAATTTTGGCAGATCTCCAAGGTTTGAAGGCAGCGCCACCAAATTTTTGCACGATTCAATAAACAGTTTCCCAAGTGAAGCGGGCAGCTTCGGAATCTCCAGCAAACTATCACATCTAAATATGTATAGCCTTTCCAACTCGGGCAGAGGAAGGATTTCCTCGGATGATGAGCCCTTCCCCTCTAGTTTGTTGCAGTATTCAATATCCAGAGGTCGCAGGCAAACCAAGCATCGGAACAACTCCACTGGCCAGTGCAAAATATTGTTGCATGACCAGATTTCCAATTGTTCCAAGAAAGCCAAGCAATCCCCAAGCTCAAGCTGCAATTTGGATGAGTTGAACATTGATATGAAGCCATTGTCATTTCGTACACGTAAACTTCTCAGGCAGTCCAGCGGAGGTATTTGGCTTTGGTTTTGATGATCCTTTACAGGCATCACCATGTCTACCAGCATCCCAACGTCCAATCGGACAAGAGATGGAGAAGATCCCAAAGGTATGCCCATAGGAACAGGCTTACTGTTGTAACATTCTAGAAAAGTGAGAGCGGGGCTTTCTAGAAAAGTTGCATTTTTGTTGCAGTCGATGATGCGCAGCTGTTCCAGCTGAGGAAACACCACCAAGCTATTAGGCTCTCCTGCGCTGTTTTCTGCCCATCTCTCGAACTTTGGCAATTTCTGCAAACACATCGTCTTTAACTTTGGAAAAATTGCTGGAGAGGTATTATGCCCTGTAGCTTCAATGTCAATGTTCTTACATAATGCGGACAGGCTGTTCATACGGCATAAATACAATTTCTCAAGATAGGGCGACAACCACACTAATGGCAGATCCTTACATCTTGGGCAGTTGAAAATATATAGTTCTCTTAAACACTGGAACATTTGTGGATCTCTCATCCATTGTGAGATGGATAGGCCAGCATACCCATGTAGCCCCAATATTTTAAGCTCAGCATGAGGTACAAGAGATTTCAGTACTGTTGACGAAATATGCTCGACAGTCTATAAGAGGCGAAGTGTAGCCACTTAGACTCCGTTTGCTTGGAATCATCCATAATTTAGTCAATAAGGAGGGTAAATAAAAAAAAGCATTACATTCACCGCTAGGTGAAGTGTAGCCACTTAGTCCCCGAGGCTGCTGGAAGATGAAGAATGAATTTTGTAGTAGGGTCAAAGAAAATAAATCGGAAAGCTTGTCGACATGCGTATCAAGACCCAGACGTGCTGCCTAAGATCAGCACCCTGATCCGATCAGCATGGAGCAAACTGATAGCATACGAATGAGACATAGCAAGATCCGGCCGCAAAGGGAGTCCCCAGCTTAGCTGGCGACTCTTGCACGAATAAACCGAACTGCTGAGTTCCCAGCTTAGCTAGCGATAAAGCGACGAACAATCCAAACGCCGAGGAGTCCCTAACTTAGCTGGTGAGCCTCCAGCGTAGCTGACGATGAAGCGACGGACAATCCGACCAGTTGGTTGGCGAATAATCGAGCACCGAGCAGCCCAACCAACTAGTCGGCGGCGAAGTGAGCGTCAAGTAGAAGTGAGCGTCGAACAGTCCGACCAGCTGGTTGGCGACGAAGGTCATGAACCTAGCGGTCCGACCAGTTGATCGGCGGAGAAAACAGCGGCGGAGCTTGCCGGAGACATCGACCTTAGGTGAAGTGTACACACTTAGACTTCGTTGGCGAAGTCAAATGATCATCATCCATGAATTAGTCAAAGAGGATGTTAGTATGCGCTACAAGGTGTAATGTATATATTGTAGTCCCCGAGCCTAACGGTAGGCGAAGAATGCATCTGGTGTTAGGATCCAAGAATTACAATGATCGCTTAGTCAGAATAACTGAGTCCAAGCTTAGCCGAGCACACAGCCAGTCCCCAGCTTAACTAAAGACCATTAAGAGAGAGAAAATAGTACACTCACCGCTAGATGAAGTGTACACACCTAGTCCTCGACCCTACTGTAAGATAGAGCAGCATCTTGTAGAAGGATAAGGAAACAAGTAAAAAGACGAAATCCCCGTGCTTAGCAATGGACATTGGAGTAAAATTTGAAGAGTGCTGAGCACTTAAAAATGGAGAAAAAATAAAGAGTGCTTAGCACTTTTACCGTTGGAGAACATGGAGAGTGCTTAGCACTATACCGTGGAGAAATTGGAGAGTTTAGCATTATACCATGGTGAACATAGAGACTGCTTAGCACTATACCATGGAGAAATTGGAGAGTGCTTAGCACTATACCGTGACGAACATAGAGAGTGCTTAGCACTATACCGTGGTAAACATAGAGAGTGCTTAGCACTATACCGTGGAGAAATTAAAGAGTGCTTAGCACTCTACCGTGGCGAATATGAAGAGTGCTTAGCACTAACCGTGGCGAACATGGAGAGTGCTTAGCACTATACCGTGGTGAACATGGAGAGTGCTTAGCACTATACCGTGGAGAGCAAAATTTGAGAGTGCTTAGCACTATACCGTGACAATGCTTAGCACTATATCGTGGAAAAATTGAAGAGTGCTTAGCACTTAACCGTGACGAAATTTGAAGAGTGCTTAACACAATACCGTGGCGAACATGGAGAGTGCTTATCACTATACCGACGAGACGTGTGGGACATTCTATCCCAAGATTCTTGTGCACGCTTAGGAATATGGGCATCACCAAGGAGCCACTGCCGCCCGCTCATGACGCAGGGCGCTATTGCTCATGCATGTTTAGATGCTAAGTCGAGGATAGGGCTGCTTCTGGATAACACAAATGAAAACGTGACTAGTCAACGACGATGAAATTGCCTAGCCCTCGAGCTTTTCTAGCATGTCGTCATGACGGTGGTCGCTGTTGCCACAACGCCGTTCTTCGCGACGATCAACATTGCGGCACGGCGCAGCTTGCTTACGACTCAGGCGGCTCGCTTGGTGGCTCGGGCGGCTCGGTGGCTCAAGCGGCTATGCGGAGTCGTAGGCAAACGAGCGTAATCGGAGCCTGACAGAGTCAATTCGCGTAGGGAGGCGAAGCCCTTGAGCGTGTCCGACTGAGGCGAGGGCGCAGTCCGATTTGAATGGCGATAGTATGCATCATCTTAAAAATGTTTAGCATGGAGAAAAGTCATTTGGAGAAAAATTATGAAAAACAAATGAAGAAAACATCACGGATAAAATCATTATTGAAATGCATATATACATAAAAAGGTACATATCTTTTGTAGAAAGTCTCAAGGTTAGAACCGCCTAAGGTGTTCGATGTGCCAGGAACTAGGGATGTCAACGCCGTCTTGATCACAGAGCCTATATGACCCTGGTCGGGTCACAGCCTTGACGATGTTTGGAACTTCTTGGAGTCGACGATGCAAGCCTCTATTATGGCTGAGATGTGCATTGCTTCAGCTATGGCGAGTCCTTCTCTTTCACAGTCGTAGGCGGTGGAGACGTTGGCGCGCAGGATGAGGACGCCCTGCTCTGTTGGAATCTTCAACACCACATAGACATAATGGGGCACGGCCATGAACTTGGCGAGAGCTGGTCGGCCAAGGATGGCGTGGTAGGTGGTGTCGAAGTCTGCCACAAAGAAGTTCACGTACTTAGTACGAAAGTGGTTAGCGGTGCCAAACTAGACTGGCAAGGTGATCTGCCCCAAAGGTTAGGACGCTCTGCCAGGTACAATACCCCAGAATAGAGAATCAACAGGAACGAGATCGTCCTTCGTGAATCCTGACTCAGTTAGGGCTCCGGCGAAGAGGATGTTGAGGGCACTCCCGCCGTCAATGAGGACCTTCTTGAACCACACGTTGCTGATGATTAGATCCAGCACAAGTGGGAAATGGCCTAGGTATGGGATATCTGCCCACTGGTCGGTCCTACTGAATGTGATAGGATGCTCCAACCAGTCTAGATATTTGGGATCGGCGACCGTGTCGTACTTGGTGATCGACATGACCTGTCGAGCGGTGAGCTTCTGCTGGCGTTTGCTCTCGAAGGCGGCGTACCCTCCGAAGATTGTGGCGACGGTCTTGTTGGCATCTTGGAAAAGCGGGTCGTGCATCCTTAGGACGCTCCTTCCCCTTGCCGTCATCTGACTCATCGTCCTTGCGCGTCTGTTGTTTCTGTTCCTCATCGCGAAAAGCTTTGGCCATGCCATAACATTGCCTCATGGTGTGCTTGCTGTTCTTTTGAATTGGGCATGGATCGTCGAGGATCTTTTCATAGGCAGCGTTGAAATTACGTTTTGCGCGTGGCTGCTCTACATTGTTGATGAAGTTTTTCGGTCGACGACGACATGGTTGTGCAGCCCTCGATCCCTCTGACCGATCATTATGACGGCGTTCGCGATCGTCATAGCGTCTGTCACAATCTTCATAACGTCGTTCTTCACGGCGATCATCATCACGACGTGGGTGGCGATCCGAGCGGGAAGCACGAGCAACATCGTCCTTGAACTACTGATCAGCTTCTTTGAAGTCTGCGTACGAGTTTGCAACCTTGAGGAGTTTGCCGATGGTCTGGGGCCTCTTGCGGTAAAGTTTGGAGCACAACTCCTGATGGTGATGGAGTCCTCTTGTGAAAGCGGAGATGGCCTCGCTGTCCCCAATGTTGGGGATGGTGTTCCTTGTTTCCGAGAAACGCCTGATGTAGCTTCGTAGAGGTTTTCTAGAGGTATGGTGGAGTTCTTCCAGATCATATTTTGTGCCAGGCTGCTGGCACGTTGCCATATAATTTTCGACGAAGACTTTCTTGAGATCATCCCAAGATTCGATGGAGTCCTCTCTTAGGCCCATAAACCAATTGTTGGCTGATTGGGAGAGCATGACAGGCAAATAGTTCGCCATCACATCGGTGTTTCCTTCGGTGGCATGTACGGTGATCTCGTAGAGCCGCATCCACTACTCGGGGTTACCCTTGCCATCGTAGGGATCGACCCCGAAGATCTTGAAGCCTGCGGGCCACTATACAGCTCGCAGCCTTGCTGCGAAGGGGCAAGGTCCCATCGGCTCGATAGCTTGGAGTGGTCAAAGGCCGTCGGGGTCGCCGTGTTGGTCGTCGTACTCCTACCGACGTTGGAGCTCTGCCTGATGCCGCTGGGCATGACTATTCTCGATGAGATTGCGGGCATTGAGATTGGTACTGATACGGTCACGGGCGTCACCACGCAGGGGTTGATTAACCTCCTAGTTAGCGTTATGAGCTGGTCGGCCATGTTGATTTCGTGGTCCTTATGATCCAGGATTGATGGCAACATTGCCCCTGGACCCCCCTTGACGATCTGGATGTTGTGGTAACGACTCCCCTATTATGGCAACAACCACGGGGGTTACGACTACGTGCGGACGCTATCGAAAAGGACAGAGTTGGGTTCCAGATGTCGTTGACCTAGACCTGAGCTGCTTTAAGCAGCGCTTGGATCTTGAGTACCTTTGGCGTTGGTGGGAGTCTAGCCAACTCATGGGTCACCACAGCCAGATTGGCGCTCGACGTCTGCTCCACTTGCTGGTTGTCCACCATGAGGAACTCTTGTTGGAGATTACGAGCGAGAGGCGGCAGGTCACCTCTGGCAGCTTGGTCGGTGTTTTCTGCTTCTTCATTACGACGTCGTTGGCGATCAGCGTTCCTGGCTTCGCGTTCATGGCGCTGGACACTGGTCTCTCCATCGATAGCAACGCTGTCATGGCTAACCATGAAAAGCTCTCTCCCAAAGCTTAGAGGGAAAGGTGGACAGCTGCTGGTAGAACCCTCGGAGTATGGCTCAGGGCTTTCCTCTAGGATTATATGGAGCGTGTCATCCGGAAGATCTGTTCAGATTTGCACCATGTTTACCATTGGTGCAGGCTGGTCGGCCTCAGGGAAGTCGATCTGACAGAGGTCGTTGACGTGGCTGCGCTCGGTGTGGTCGGCGAAAAGATGGTGCACGGCGTCCCGACAGATTGGACCCGCACCCACCAGCCCAAAAGAATAGGGCTTCGGTATGTTCTCCGTCGAGGCAGGGAGTGGTCGGCGTTGAACGGTATGCTCTTCTCGAGTTGTCGTGATCATCAGATCAGAATCTGGCCGCCTTGAATGATGTGGCCGAGCAGGTCGCCTGGTTGCAGCGGCTTGGTGATCTTAGAGTACGGAAAATTCATCGCTTGCTCTAGATTGATCTAAGACCGAATCCACGAGGAGCTGACATTCTGCTAAGTGGTCTGTGACCCGATCGATGGATGCGATCAGATCATCATTGCTGATGGATCTCCTAACCCAGCGGCGATGTGTCGGGATCTGCGATGTCGTTGTAGACGTTGGCACGATCGGCGCAGGGTGATTCTGCACCGCCTCCACGATTTCCTCGACGCCGTTGGTGCCGATGACCCAGGTCATAGATCCGACCGTGAAGGTCTGACCTGGTTCGGGAAGGACCATGGAGCTCGGGAAGCGGACCATTTGGCTCGCTATGGAATCAGCACGCACACCCCCTACCTGACGCGCCGCTGTCGACGAAATATGGTCGACAGTCTACCGAAGGGTATGCCCGCGGTAGTAGATGAATCGGTGGAGGTGCACGTAATATGAGCCGGATAATGACATAAGCGCAGAGACAAGTGATCTAGACAGGTTCAGGCCGTCTGATCGACGTAATACTCTACATCATGTGTCTTTGGTAGACTGTATTGAATATGAGATGAATTCGAGGGGGGTCCCTACCCGCCTTATATAGTCTAGGGGGTAAGGTTATAAGTCGGTTTAGGCCTAGATCTATTCGGTTATATGGTAAGTATTTATAAGGAATACGATATCTATCATATCCGAAAAGATCTTCCTTCATCGTTAATATGTCTTCTGATTGCCTTACCGTGCACGCCGATCAGAGCCGAGCACCGTAGGCCTTGATCTTATAGGCTGAACCTCCCCTGGTGGTGCGGCCCATATCCATTGCCGTGGGTACCTGGGGTTATACTCCACAGGTACCTCTTCCTCATTATTACTGATGGCCTCGTCATGCAACGGACTGTATTTCTCGTCACAGCCCCAATACAAAAACAGTTCAGTTAGGTTCTTTTTCTCATGGAGATTGGCCTTTGACCCACTCTTTACTTAAACTGAATAGTTCCAGCCTGTTTCCAAGGTGTCTCAGGTCTTTAGCTCCTCAATACCAAAGCCATCGCCAACGTCCACAACAAAGTTTGTCAGTGTGCAGAGGCTGTGTAGCAAACTAAGTTTTGGAGGCATCCGCTTCAACCTATGACATCCAGTTAGATAAATGGGGGTGAGCTTTCTCATAGTTCGCATGCCTTCTGGTAAAAGCTCTAGGTTCCAACAATGGTTGAGGATCAGTGATTGCAAATTATACAACATACAAACTGAATTCGACAATCTAACAATTGTTGACTCAGAAAGATCAAGATATCTTAAATGTGTTGTATTTAAGAGTTTTTTATTACCCCAACATAGCGCTCTTAATGATGTAAGATTTAACTTCTTAAGTGCCTTGTAATCTGATTCATTAAAATACATGTGCCCTGACTCAGTTAATAAAGTGTGGATAGGAGATGAGTTTTCCATCAATCTAGTGATTTGTTGTTTCAACTTAGGTCGTGACAACTGGATGTGACGTACATTGTTTATCAATGTTTTCTGTGGAATCAACTCTGCTACAACGGCACACTCATCTGTAGTTTCTTTTGCTAAATCATGCATTAAATCATGCATTTTACATCCAATTTGCTTGTATGGACCGAAACCCTTGTATGGACCAAAATTATATCGGTCAATTATCTTGACATTCACATCTTGAATAAATGACCTCCACACCAACTCGTTGAAAACAAATTCACCTTTCTGCACCAAATCTGTTGTTCCCTCTGCATGAATAAAATTGTTTGCCATCCATAGCTGGATTAACTTATCCTTATCCATCTCATAGTCCTTAGGGAATACCGCGCAGAAGGCAAAGCATTGCTTCATTTCAGATGACAAGTGCATGTAGCTCAATTTCAGAATGGACAGTACTTCATCTTTACGATCCCTATCATCCTCTGCGATGGCCTCCCATTCCTTGATTGTATGTTTGGAACTCATCAATCCACCCATTGTCTTCAAAGCAAGAGGTAGCCCCTTGCATTTGTTGACAATATGTTTGCCAATTTTTATCAACTCTGATTGCTCCTCCACTCCTTTACTAAATGCTTTCTTTGAGAACAACTCCCATGAATCATCTTCACTCAAGCATGCTAGTTCATGTGGTGGAAGGGTGCCCATTATAGAGGCAACTTTTTGGCTTCGACTTGTGACAACTATCATGCTTTCCAATCCAGCAATGGAAGAACATAGCAGTGGTTTCAAGTCATCCTCCCACCTCTGTTGTTCTTCATTCCACACGTCGTCAAGAACCAGTAAGAACCTTTTCCAGCCAATGACTTCCTGCAGTTTTGCTCGCAGTAGCTCGATGGTGTCAGGTAGGTCACATCTTGCATTTGTAGCCAACTCTATGATGGACCTCACAATAGCAATGGCTTCAAAGTTGTCTGACACACAGTGCCACATCTTCAACTCAAAGTGCTTCTGAATTTTGCTGTCATTGTACACCATCTTGGCTAGTGTGGTCTTGCCCAAACCTCCCATTCCAATGATGGGCAGAACCTGCACATTCCGCTCATCTTGCTGGTCGAGTAACATCTTCACCACGACTTCCTTGTCGTCGTCCCTTCCAAGGATATCTGCAGACTCGTCCAGTGCAGAGTGCGTTTGCCGATACAGAGTTTGTGGCGCTACTGGCTCGCGCTGCAGCAGATCAAATTTCTTCATATCCTCCACCAGCTTGTGGATCTTGCCCAGCACGTTCTTGAGATCCCTGCTCGCTTTAGACGGAACACGAGTGGATTCCTGGAGGTGAAGTAGTCAAGTACCTTGCTGGTGGTAGACCGAAGGCTCAGGGCCTCGCGGCGCAGCGCCTCGTACTGAAAGTCGTCAAGGACGTCGTCGGCCTGGTACGCGGCGGCCCTGAGCTCCTTCATCCACGCCTTGACAGCGCGGCCGGCCTCGTTCTCCGCCTCGGCCTTCGCCTCGGCGTCCGCCAGCAGGGACTGCACATACAGCAACTTCAGCTCCAGGTCGCGGCGGTCGCCGTCGACGCCCCACATGCGGGTGACCTTCTGGACGAGCGCGTCGGCGGCCTTGCCGACCACGCCGCGCACCACGGGAAGCAGCAGCGATTCAGCCATGGGCGGCGCCTTTGCCGGGATGACTCTCAGCCTCTCACTTGTCTGCAAGCTGTGCGCTCGCCGGGATATTCTATAAATTTAGTTAAATTTAAGAAATCTTGACTTCTTCTATAGCTACAATTATGTTCTGTTTTTTTGGGTAGAGATAGTACATATTAATACACAAGAATTACCCTAGAAACAAAGACATTACGGAAGTACTACGCGCTACTGATCCTATTACAAAAATGCAAATAAGAGTATTTTCCTAGATGTTGTCGGCAAAAAAATCACACGTCCAATAGCACGAAAATGGTAATTTCTCTTTCAAATAGAGAAAATAGTTACGGAAATTTTTAAGGCATGAAATTTACGAGTACTGATCGTTTCAAAAGTTTTCACAATGCAATAGTACTCATTCCATAGTTTTTTAAGGCATGAAATAGTAATTTTTAAGCAATGAAATTTACGAGTACTGATTCATGCATCGGTAACTTTTCAAAAAATCGTAGCTCTTTCTATCTTATCTTACATGAAGATGATCTTTATATGAAAATTGTAGCTCTTGATGAAACCGCAATTTTATAATGGATCATTATTAAAAAAAACAACCAAAAGGTATCTATGAAACTTTATCTATTTTGGATTAAGCAAGGCACAACTTTCGTATATACCATCCACACCATGCCAATATTTCATATACCACAACAGCACATCTCGATATGTACAATCATCTTTCATCAGAATGCCGCATCTACTTCATGATGAAAGATGACTAGAAAATAAAGAGAAGCGACTCCATTTACAAGCTTACTATGCATCACCTGCAGCAAACAAAACCAAACCGTTTGCCAGATGACTAAATAAGGACCACTGATGCAAAACAAGCAAAAGGTGGGGAAAGAAACAACAGGCGCATCATGATACTAGAGCCCTAGAACGACATGTACATAGGTTGCTTTCATGCCATAAATTTGGATTGTCTGCACGACAAGCTGGGACCGAGCGGGGCTGGAGCCCTATTAGTTGGGTCGACCACACCAAGAGGACCTTGATTTACTGAAGGTGTGGTTGCGAGATTATCTACTATGGTCCTCTAACAACGCAAGAATGTCTTCGTCGCTTGTTCCGCCATCGATTGCATACTGTAATGCTGTCCTACCATCTCGATCCATGGCTTGTGAATCAGCCCCTCTGCATACAAACGAAAAAAAGAAAATGAGACTTTGTTTTGCATTCCTGCAGCTTTGCTGGATCATTCAGTGTTCTTCCCACAAAGAAAAGCAGAAAGCACACTTCGCTAAACAAAACAGAGCTCTGATGATGATTATATATTATTATACTAGTAGTGATTCGAATAAACCTTGTTGACAAATCAAACATGTAGCCCAAGATCAAATTCCTGAATAGTCAGCTTCTTGCGTTACCTGGAGAGGAGAAGCTTTGCATGCCGATGTCTTCCTTTCAAAATGCAGTGATGAAGGGGTGTCCGACCCCTAGAATCATTCGTATTTACACTAGCACCATACTGCAAAAGTAATTCAACCATCCCAACATCTGCAACACGGCATGCAAGATGGAGCAAGGAGAGACCTTCACAACTGTCCTCCATGTCATCTGTGCGTGAACTCGTGCTAGCAGGGGAAAGGGGCTCTCGAGGAGAAATCTTATCATGTGAATTGCAATCGAAAAATCTAGGACTTCCATCAGGTGATGAAGCCGGTTGCTCTTGCTGAAGTGCTTTTCCAAGAGTCAAAAATGGGCTAGAAGGCATCTCTCCATAAACTAAATTTACATTGGCACGTGATCTCACAATGAGACTGTATGCTGCTTTCTTGTCATTTGCAGCTACACTATTCCACATCTGCTGAGCTAGCTGATTCTCATCTATGCTATGGTTCCGTATGAATTCTTTGTCTACATACTGCAATATTTACACCGAAAAGGTTAAAAAAATTCAGCAACCAAATTGGGATATATGACACTAAATATATTTTCAAACTGAAGATCTTCAAATAGGCCTACAAATACACGCATTGAACAATGTTTAACGTTATACAGATTCTAGTTCATGCAGTGTTGTTTTCAGATGGTTTCATGGGCATGTGATCATGGATGAGCATTGGGTAGTGCCTAAAGTAATTTCTTACGAAACTTCAAGAATCTTGCCAAGAATGTAGCCCCTCCAGTCACCGCTAAGTGTCATTTTTGAATGCATCATGTCCAGACACATATTTTGCCACCAATTGCTACTGTAATATATTTTTTAAAACAAAAAAAAACATTATAGAAAGCTAGTTTTCAGACAAGCTTATTTGTACTATTTCTGAATGGTCTATTTAATATAATTAAATATATGAAAAATTCATGGTGGCCCTAAACTTGTCAGGCTGTGCCATCGAGGTCCATCAACTTATAAATTGCATTTTTTTGGACCCCTAATCTTGGAGGTGAACCACTTAAAAAGGTTATGTGCCTAAAACTGCAATTTGTAAGTTGGTGGACCTGACAAGGGTCGACCGTATATTTCACTCTAAATATGTATTTGGACAAAGTTACAATGGTTTGACTGAACACATTCTTGGATGGAATGTTTTTTTCTTGATTGGCGAGAATATTGATCAAAATACCAAGAAAAATGCTACCGTGAGTACATCATCAGTGTAACAGTTTGCAGGACGAACTATTATTTTTCCTTTTCCTTTTGATAATTACTCCCTCGTTCCAAATTGTAAGTCATTTTGGTTTTTTCTAGGTATTACGTAACAAAATTCTAGGTACAAAATGCGAGGTGGCCAAGCGCCACGGCATGGTGTTGGTGGTGGAGAGCACGCTTCGGCGGGGGCGCTCGGCAGCGCGGCTTGGGCGGGGGCTGGGACGGGGGCGAGGGCGGGAGTGGTGGGCTGGTGGCCGCGGCGGAGGCGCGGCGCGAGCCTGTGGGAAGAGTAGCGTCGAAACCTCCCGCCGAGGCGGCGTTCGGCAGCTCGGCCGGGGAGGGGGCTAGGACGGGGATGGCGCTCGGCGGGGACGGGAGCGGCGGCGGCGCGGCGCGGCGCGGGGCTGCGGGAGGAGGAGCGTCGGGACTCGGGACTGCGAGGGAGCACGTGGGGAGGACGGGGTCGACGCTCGTGTAGGTTCTGGGATTTCAGGTTCGTAACGAAATTGGGCGGAGACCGATTCGACCCGTCATCGGACGGACCACATCGCTTCGTCGCTTGATCCAACGGTGTATGGGTTAGCGGGTGACGTGGCCATATCCACCGCCCGAACCTTGGCTCAGGATTCGATATGTAGAGATTTCCTGGACCAGTCCTAATAATGATTTGTAGGCCGAACTTTTGGCTTATTACCAGGCCAATGCACATGCAGCTAAGAAATTAGGTGTTGGCAAACTTAGTTTAAAACGAAAAATAAATTATTACTATCTGTGTATACTCAGTCTATTCGCTCGTTGGTTCTAGCCAGAGCTTATCAGCCAGTCAACAGTATTTTTCTCTCACAATAAACTAGCATCAGTCGGACTTATCAGCCCAGAAACCAACCAGCGAACATGCTCACTAAGGCCCTATTCGCTTGTCTTATAATCCATACTTTTCAGCTTGTTTTTTCAGTCGAAACAGTGTTTTTCTCTCACAACAAATCAGCCAAAACAATATTTTGACTTGTTTTTTCAGCGAAGTGAACGGGCCTAAGTGTTAGCAGGCTAGTAGGGCTTTGCTAGTTGCTTCCGCATGACCTTATTATCAAATGAATCAAGTAGAAACGAATCTGTGTACCAAGAAATCAAATTTAGCTAACTGTAAATAGCATGACACCAAGCAATGCAATCGATCAAATCCAACTCAATAGTTTTACACAACTAAAATGAAAAAAAAAATGCTGCAGGGGTCCAGTTGGATAAACAGGAGTGCTAAATCGTTTAGCGAATAGTGTCTGGATAATTGTTTCAAACATTCTCTCTCTCTCTCTCTCTCTCTCTCTCTCTCTATATATATATATATATATATATATATATATATATGAATAGTATATTAAGTAGCCAGCTACAAAATAAGTTATCCTGTAGCCACCTCCATTTACGATATTTTTATATACTAATTTACGATAATGTCAATACATATTTACGATAGTTGGGTTACTATAACACATGGGGATGTTTACCATAACGTTATAGTAAACCACTTAGTAAGGAGTTACTATGATCTCGTAAATTAATCTCTTAGAAGCTACCGAAATACAGCAAACGAATGAGTTAGCATGCTAATAAACATTTGCATCACAATTGAAAAATAATTATGCATAACTTTTTAGGCACATCACCACGGAACTTAAAGAAGAGGAGAATGCATAACTGATAACTCCTAGAGGAATAAACATAAATGAAATAGGATGAGAATAAAAAAAACTTAAAAATACAATTCTCACTTACATGAACCTCCAAGTCTTCAATAAAGAAACGATACTGAATAAAGAATGCTATCAACATTTCTTTTAAATGTAGACAGGAACAACTGCAAATGCTTAAGACGGGAAAACTTCAATGGGTTGTCCCACAACCATTGCTTCTGAAATATAAAACATAAAATGTCATTGAACTGAATTTTTCAGATAGTTTAAAACATAAAACCTCAAGAGTCATATAAGGGGGGTTTACCTTTATTATCTCTAGCCAACGTAAAGTTAGATTTTCCACGTTTGGAAGACCGTTGTTGAGAAGTGATATGAGGGCATCCTGAAAATCTGCCTTGTAGAACATAATATTTGCACTTTGTATCTTCAATGAGTGGCTGAGTCTAATTGGTATAAAGATAAACCGTCCATAGTATTCAAAGGTAGTAAGATTCCTAGCATGGAATTCTACCTTGGTAAATTCGCAACAGTCAATGTGCAAGTACAGTAGATGGGATAGCGGACCATTCATCACCAGTTCATCATTGAGCTAGGTTACATCTGTCTATGCATAGCCACTCAAGATTACAACATGTCCAAGGTCCTTTTTGGAGGCATGCACTAACTGTAGA